TTACTGTGTGAGTGTTTAATAATGATGCAAATTTAAGTATTGAGGTAGGGTGGTTCTAGCTAAATGCTTTATGGTCAACTAAAATGTTAATGAATCCTTTGAAACTTCTTAACATACCTAAAGTTCAAGCAAGAATTTTAAACTAAGAAAATTAAACAACAATTAAACAAAAGGTGGAAATCTCAAGTAGACACTTAGGACCTCTTAAGACCATTTCTATAAAGAAAGGACTTTTTTACCAGAAATTTAAAAAAATTCAAAATTAAAACTATGAGACCCACTCCTCTCCCCCCCTCCTTCTCAAAATTCCCATTTTTCCTTCCTCTATTTTTCCTTAGATTCCATTTCTCAAGCTACTTGGTGATTGTAGATGCTGAGTGAAGGGCCAAGAGCTAGCTGAGAGCACCGATTCCTTCCTCCCTTTCTCCATTTCTCTTCTCCTTCTCCTCTTTTCTCGGGAGCTTGGATTCTTTTTCTCTGAGGTAAGGGAAGTTAGGTTTCATGCGGATTTCTTGTAAATGGATTTAGGAACTCAAGTAATGCTTGAATTGAGGAGATTGATGGTCGAATTTGATGAGTTGTTCATTTTTAGGGTTTTGGGAAAATTGGGGAAAATGGTGATTTTGATGCGTTTGATGGTTTCATGTTGAAATAGAGCTTGTTTTCGAGTTGTATGATGTAAATGTAGTTCATTTCATGGGTTGCATGTGTTTAAGCTGGTTGATTTGCAGGTTTCTGTGTGAAATTTTGAAGTTTTTGGGTTGACTGTTTGAGGTTGCGCCGGGTGCAGTTCTTGGCGTCGGGCGTGCGTTCATCAGAGGCCACCATTGTCTTTTCACGCCAGGCACAAAGCTAGTCGCGCCGGGCATGATTTGAAATGGGGAATCCCTGGGTGAATCACGTCGGACGAGGGGAGAACCACGCTGGGCGCACTATTAGACCTGAGTCTTGTGTTTTGTTACTGATATGGTGCCAGGTGTGATCAGAGCACGCCAGGCGTGGAGACCCGTTGTGAGTCTCTGTCTGGGGTTGCACCGGGCACAAGATAATTGCGTCAGGTGCAGAGACCTCTGTAGGTCTCTGGTTGAGTTTGCGCCAGGCGTGATTTTAATGCACCGGGCGTAAGTATTTTGGTCTTTGAGTCTTCATGAAAGTTGTATCCTTGGATGCTAGCTTTCCAATGGTGCTAGAATCACCCAAAAAGGAGGTCTAGAACTCCAGATATGGCTGTTTTAGTGAAGAGGGGTCAAGCTGCCAGCATTGGTTATAGCTGTTGCGGTTTTTAGTATTTTTAACAAGGTAGATGAAGGAATTAGGACTTGGTGGCTTCATGAGAGTTGTAGGAAATAATCTTACCTTTCATATGAGATAAGGATAAGAATGATAGGAGTATTATAACTCCCGATATACTATTTTATGTAAAGGTTGCCATTTCTCAAGGAGTGATTTGGATAAGTTGAAGGTTGTCATGGGTGCGTAGGTTAATTCATGTTGTATATGTTGTGTAGGTTGGCATGATAGATGAGTTGTAAACATGATGGGTGAGTTGTATTATGTGTTGAATATGTTGTATGTTGTGAAGTTGTTGATTTATGACATGTTGAAGTTAAGTGTGTATAAGTTGTTGAGCTGATCATGTTGTTTATGATATTAAGCTGAACTGTGCTATATGTTGTTTATGCTATTAATGATGTTAAGCTGAGTTGTGCTGTATGTTGTTTATGTTGTTAATGATATTAAGCTGAGCTGTGCTATATGTTGTTTATGTTGTTAAAGATGTTAAGTCGAGTTGTGTTGTATGTTGATTAAGCTGATTAAGTTGTGATGATGAGTTGTTGATCACTAGGATTAGAGGAGATGTTTTTGAATTTACTCATCCCATTGTGAGGATCGAGAAGTTGTGGTGCTCAAAGACCCCAATTTGTTGAAAACCCTCATTGGAAAGTCGTCCCTTTGAGTGGACTTTGTGCTATTCTCCTCTAGTACTTAGTTGATCCCGTGTGTGGGCAAGGTCGAGGCACACGTGTACAAAGAGACCACGGTATAGGGGTCAGGCCGAGCAATACCGATTACAAGCAGCCAATCGAGTAAAGTACGAAGTTAGGAACTTAGTTCCTAACTGAGTACTATCCTCACATAGTACTATACTTCCTTGTTTAAGTAGCAAAGTCTAAGAAATCGTGAAGTTGTGGATTAATATCCAAATTTTCTATTTACCTAGCAAACCCAAAAAGGTTCTTTACTGTCGGTTCGGTAGGACCTAGCCACTTAAATTGCTCACCCATGTTGTAGGAGATCTCCGAGTTAAAATGCGTGACGACACATAAGCTGTTTGATGTTGATTTTGCTGATTGATATGAGCTGTATATGTGTAACTATGATGTGGCTGTATGCTATTATGTGTTGTATGTTAAATCTGTTGAGATTGATGATGTGCTGTTAAGTTGAAAGTTATTTATAATTTAATTATATGCTGATTTCTTTTCACTAGCTTACCCTTTCCAGTTTCTATGTGGGTTGGACTGCAATGATCATACTGTGTATGGGAGTAGAGCAAGGATAGGCTGGAGTGTAGTAGCAGGGCTACCGGTGATAGTAGGAGCTGACTTTTTGTTTATGGGCTACTTGGTGTAGCTATTTTGTAGTTTTGGATACTGACTTGTTGAGCCACAGGCTAGACTTATGTATATATAATTACTCTTTTATATGCATACTTTATTCTGTGTGGTGATGTTTGTTGTGCGACGTCTAGGCAAGTCGTTACAAAAACAAGTCTTGAATCTTTAAGTGTTTCTCTCCCTCGCTTGGTGTTTCACTCATAAGTCTTCTTAAAGGAAATCATCAACCCAGGAGTACGTTCTCCTAGGCCTTCATCAATAATCCAAGATGGTACCTTGTAGTAAGGTTTTCTTGGAAATCCTTCACTTGAAAGTTAGCACCACAATAACTAATGGAGATTTTAAAGACAAATCAATAAAAGATCAATTAAAAGTAAGCTAAATTCTAAGAGTGTATTTGGATAAAGAATTTAAATGGAGTAATTCAATTGTTTTTGAAGAATTTCAAATGCCTTGAAATGAAATACTTTCTTTGGATGGAGAACTAATAAAGGATTTGAAATTCAAACATTTGTGGAATTCCTATATATCTCCCAAAATAGTATAATTTTAAATTCTTCCCAAAAAAAATTAAGAATTTAAAATTCTTCATATTTTTTCTTTCTTATCTCACCTACATATTTTTTATCTTTCTCTCTTCTATCTATTATGTTTCCTTTTGCCTCTTTCTCTATTCTATTTGCTCTATCTATCTCATTTTTTTTGCCTCTCCCTATTTCTTTTCTTTCTTTCTCTCTTTAATGTTTATCTATTTTCTTTCTCTACCTCTTTTCTTTCTTTCTCTCTCTCCCCTATTTCTCTTTTCTCTTCATCTCTACCTTTTTCTATTTTTTTTCTATTTATTTTTTCTCTTACCCTTCATCTCTCTTTCAAAATTGACATAAAAAATATTAATAATTTTTTATTATTGAATATTTAAATATATTTTTTAAATAATTAAATATTGTCTAATGTTAGTTTTTAAAATTTTTAAATATTTAAAATTGACTAATATTTTCTTTTATAAATTTTAATCTTTATATATATATGTACATATATATATATATATATATATATATATATAATCAATTTTACCTATTATGGAAATCAAATTATCATATCTAAACTAAGAATTTAAAATTTTAGAAATTTGAATTGAATTATCTAAATAAAATATTTAAAAATTGATGGAGATTAAAATTAAAGTAATTCAAATTCAAAAATTTCTTAAAATTTCTCATATAAAAACACTCTAAAGTTAAAACTCATGATTTGTACATACTAAGATATTCCATTTCTAAATCCACTAATGATTTAACATATGATTCAAACTTCACATCCATCATGTATTTTGAGAATGAAATGAAAATACTTTAATGATATTTGATTTTATTTTTGTAATAAAAAATTTAGATTAAGATAAGATGACCCATGTAAGGTCAAAGCTAACATCATCAACCTCTTTGAAATTTTTTTTTGTGGGATTATGAATTACTTATTCCATTTTCAATGCAAGTCAACATGAAAGTAAGTATAAGAGAAGTCATATTCAATCCTAAGTCTTAATTAGTAGGAGTAAAGAGATTTAATCAATTATATATGACTTTTGTAAAATAACTAGTAGCAGATCCAAGTCTTCACACAATTAATCGATTGTATTTTTAAAATTAAATAAGGATACATATTATTTTAAAGGTAAAATTATGACTTAATTAAAAAAAATAGAATATTATTTTTGATGAGTAAATAATGATGTCCAAAATGTGTGTGTAACATACAATGAATTCCAATTTTTTTGGTATCATATATATGTCGAATGAACAAAACTTATACTTTCGTAGGTTAGACACAAAATGACAAATATAAATAAAAATATATAATATATGAAAACAAAAAATTCAAGCATTAGATTTTTAATAATCTATTTGGATTGTCATGTGGGGAGAAGTGTTCCATTTACCTTAAAAAGTTAAACTTAAAGATCCAAATAAGCAAACCAATGTATTAAATAACATTACAGATTGTCTTCCAAAAAACTAAACAAAAGACAACATAATAGTTAAAATAGTCAACCACAATCTTCTTAACATGTGTGAAATTCACTTTTTATATCGGAAAGTAAAATTGAATTTCACCTCCTCCAACAAACATATTTTTCTTATAGATTTTCTTGATTTTAAAGATATTTTTCTGACCTATTAAATAGATTAATAAATAAAAGTTATTTTATTAACAATTAACCGTATATTTATTTCAAGATTCATAAATTCCAAACATATTCTTTTGCTTAATTATTTTTTGAACTATGTTCTTGATCAATTACAATTTGTTTAGAAACCGCGTTACTTGACCCAAAACCCGAACGTATTGTCCGAAACGGGTCGGTTGAAAATTACAAACGGGTACCACCGACCACCATAACTATTCTCACTTTCCTCCGAATCTAATTCTGTCTTTCTTTCTCTGCCGTCTTAACCTTTACAGGAGAAACGAACTCCACACAACAGTGTCTGCGAACTCCAATTCCCAAACCCTAGTTAACGGACTTGAATCCAACGAATCAGGTTCTGATCACTGGATCCACTGTTGAGCATTCTCTTTGGCTCACAGTGGACGTGATTATGCGTTTCAGATCTTGTTTGATCTCTGTTTTGTTTTGTATAATTTGCCATAGTTGGTTTCAGTTTTGCAGTTTCGCTAGTGTGTGTGTTAAGTTGACTTTTGCGTTGCTTGACTTTTGGATTGCAGGAAGTGGCGGCTTAGGTGTTGGGGGGAGTGAGAAATGCAGCGTGCTCCGGTGACGGTTGAGGAACAGTTGTTGCAGAAAGCGATTAAGGAAGAGTGTGCGTGGGAGAATCTTCCGAAGCGGCTTCAAGCTACACTTTCTTCTAAAGAAGAATGGCACAGAAGGTTAGACCGGTTTTGTTATGATTCTTGACCTTTAGTTTGCAGTTTACCCAAATTCATGGCTTCTTATTTGAGGACTGAGGAGTAATACTAATAGGTACTAATTAGCTACGCAATTAATAAACTTTTCATGTTTACCATGCTAGAGTTAGTATGCTATACATGACCCTTTAATCTCCAAGTATGTGTTCTCATGCCCTTTTAGGTGAATACTTAGTTGTTTAGGAGGGTAAGGGATCTACTGAAGGATCACTGTCATCGTCATCTCAACCCAGACTTGGGGACCAGAACTGTTTCCAGTGTGCTAGTTGAATGTCAAATTTGTTGGCTAACATATTTCTTAAATAACTGTAGAATAAAATAAATTTTCACTGGAATGAGGAGATTTTTTATTTTATTTTGAGAGGCTATTGTGCCTTTAGTGATAAAACCAAAGCACAATAAATTTTTAGGGCTAATTCTCATATAGAGATAGTACTTTTTTTTTTATTTTTAAATTTAGTAGACAATCACAGTTTGTTACATTCCACTTATTTCAAGGCTCATGTATCAATTCCTTGAATATATAATTTTGAAATACATAATATTTTTTGAGAGGAAAACAAATGTGAGAATATTATTCATGCTGATAGTATATACAAGAATTTACAATTACCCTAAATGCCATAATTACATAGTACTGTATGACTATAACAACAAAAAAAAAGTTCTATCCTTCCCGTACAAGGTAAGGTCTGGATATGGATCACGCATCATGCAATTTACTCTCCACAGCAGTGTTTCTGGTGGCCTTCTTTGCACATGTCCATACCACCTACTTTCTTTCTGACACTAGTTATCCTATATACTTTCTTTCTGACAATCTTAATAATAATATTGCCTTTTCTTGTTGGCAATGGAAATTTTGTGCAGGATAATCGACAGTTGCATAAAGAAGAGACTTCAGTGGAATAGTTGTTTTGCTCGTAAAGTTTGTAAAGAAAGTGAATATTATGAAGAGATGATGCGTTACTTGCGGAAGAATCTTGCTGTACGTACTGTACTTAATGTTATATCTGATTCTGAAACTGTTTATAAAATACATTACTACATTGTTTACATGATCACTGATTTCAAACTTTTGTTGCCAAATACATGAATGCTTTAAAATAAAAATTGCAATCTTGTAATTATAAACTGGACATTGTTTCTCTTTTGTTTCAGGATCAATTTTTGACAATAGTAAATAATTTGGCCATATTAACTTGTTATTTTGTAAAATAATATTTTCATTTCTGTACTTGGTCAATGAACATCAGATATGACTACTACAGTACCCTCTCCTGGATGTTGGGTATTTTTTATAAGCATAATTTTATTAGAGTAAAAAGGGGTACTCTATTCCATATACACCAATAACAAAAAAATCTGAATTGAAAATTACTGTCAGAACTACAAACAACTACAGAACCCGGATAATAAGCATTGAGCTAATCCATATACACCAATAAGACAAAAAATCAGAGTTTCAAATTACTGCCAGAACTACAAACAACTACAGACCCTGGATGTCAAGCAGTGAGCTCATTTTTCTGCTTTTGTTGCAATGCATCTGAATTTGATATGCTTGTTTTCTTCACATGCAGCTATTCCCTTATCATCTGGCAGAGTATATTTGCCGTGTAATGCGAGTATCACCTTTCAGATACTATTGTGATATGATTTTTGAAGTATTGAGAAATGGTAACTTTTTTCTTGTTTGTTGCAATTCTCTAATGCATATCTCTTCATGAGGGACCTGATTAATATTTGCTTCTTATAGCTTATTGAGTATTTTTTTAATGTAAAATCATGATAACCAAATTGAATAGTGTTTGTAAGAATATTTTTTCTGTGGGTTCTTTTGTAACTTGAATAGTGGGAAGTGGGAACTGGAAGAGTTGGGCATTTACATTGATCTTTGATTGAAAATTATGTTCATAATACAGATTGATAGTGATTAGTGAGAAATATAAAGTTGACTTATACAAACTTTTCTATTGGATATAATATCCTTGGGAAGGAACATGTAGCATCATCTATGAACAGGGGGGAAGAAAGGAGTTTTACCATTTCAGAGACACTTTTCCTCACTTCAAGGGCACAATAGTATGTATGGTATATTAGCCAGAAAGCTAAATCATGTCTGTAAACTTGGGGATGAAGTGTATGCACAATATTTGCTGAACCTTATATGGATCTTAGAGTCAATATGGTGAGAGCAACGGTAGTTAGGGCCATTGGGATTTGAGATTTGTGGTCTTGGAAATAAATATTTCTGTCACAAAAAAAGAGGAATGGTGCCAGAACAACATAATAAGAGGGATGACTAATTGGAAGAAAGAAAATAATCATGAAAATACAGTAATGTTCCAGAATTTTGGTAATTTGGCAGTGGAATAAAGATGGGATAGGCTACACTATGTGGTAGCACTTTGATATCATATTGCAAGTATATGACTTTTAGGCAGGGAGGGACAAGGGAGGAAAAGAGATACTACAGAGTGAATAATTTGAATTTGACATGATGTGAATTATTATTAACAGTAAAATACCTAATTATATAAGGAAACAGATAATGAAATATAAAAAAATATGGAATCCACTCCTAAGAGATCATCTAAGATACACCAAGATATACTGATACAATAATAATATTATAGTTTGTAGATATTTGAATTTTCGAAGTGCTTATGCCAATACGATTTTTGTCAAGTTACACAGTTATTGTAGTGTTTGATGATAATATTCCTATTTGATTTTATGTAATTTTTTATTATTGTGTTTACATCATAAATACTTAGCCTTATGGGAATTTATATTTTCTTCTTGATCAAAGAACTCCATCTACTTTTACTGTCTCCTCCTTCACTTGTTTGATTGTTGATTGTGTGCTATATAGGTTAATTAATTTTTAGAATAATAAGTGGTTGCTTACAAATGAGCTGGCCTTTAAATTCCCTTATTTTTAATTATCTGCAGAGCAACCTTATGACAGCATCCCAAATTTTAGTGCAGCAGATGCTTTAAGACTTACAGGAATTGGGAGAAATGAATTTATTGATATAATGAACAAGTGCAGATCTAAGGTACTGATTCCCATATGGTATACAGAAATATATATTTGATTCTTGTTATGCACCCTGGTTATTGTTTCATTACCAGTTCCAATTGTAGTGCCAATATTACCTTTTAAGACTTACTTTCATGTAAGTAGGCTAGATATTGTTTACAGATATATCAAACTGAATATACCTGAATGACTTAACTCCATCATCTTATGCTTCTAAATTATATGCCTTTGACAAGACTTTTATTTTGATCCTCTAATTTGAATTTTGTATCGAAGACTTTGCTGCCCCTGTCTTAAACTGGATAATTATTTTATTGCATTCTTTCCTTACCTGTCATTTCCTCATTTGGAGTATCCAGAAAATCATGTGGAAACTGAACAAGTCAATTGCAAAAGAACTTTTACCTACACAACCTGTGGATTTTCCTATTGAACCTTGGTGGGGAATTTGTCTAGTGAACTTTACTTTGGAAGAATTTAAGGTGAGGTCATTTCACCCTTATTAATGGAGGAGGGTTCATTTACAATAATGTTGTTCATTTTGTTAATTTCGCAATAAGAAATAATTTAGGGATTCTCTTATTTTTTTTAATGTGTTGTCTTTTGCCTTTACAGAAACTTTCAGAAGAGGAAATGGCCATGATAGATAAAATATGTAAAGAGGAAGCAAATTCATTTATCCTGTTCGATCCTGATGTTGTAAAGGGTCTTTATAGCAGGGGATTGATCTATTTTGATGTTCCTGTATATCCTGATGATCGATTTAAAGGTGTGTTTTTTGTGATGTTTGGTTCTTTTTTTTTTTCTTTTTTTTTTTTTGCTTACGAGGCTTTAGTTTCAAAATATCACTTCCAGAGCTTTAGTTCTGAAGAATTCAAATTTAAAGCTTCTAATTTGGAATATTTGATTTCCCTGATACATTATAATCTAAGGCAATCTATGGGGAAGATGGCTTATAAAGTAGAGTTGTTCGTCAGTTTAATTTGATCTGTTTAGAGGCATAAGTATTCTGACCAACTCAATTGACCATGTTGGTTCCCCTAAAATAGAAACTAAGCAGTTTGTGGTTTTGCAACTGATTTCTTAGAATTTGCCTAACTCAACCTCACAAAGTTGACTTGTTAGATAAGGATTTTTCATGCTTTATAAGTTCTAATTAAGCCAGCTAGAAAAACTGTTTTGGTATCCGTTGTCCAGTTTTAATAAATCTGTTTTTTGATTGTATCCAGACTAGGATTTGACCTTTTCTTTCTCTTTGTAAACTTGTAATGATTATCTTTTTACATATACATACAATGGTCTGCTGAGCGAGAGAAGCATCATTCAGTCTTTTCGTTTAATCCTAAAATCTCAAGTTGGTATCTGAGCGGGTCTGATCCCACTCTGCCTGTCACTGTCTGGCGTCCTAAGCCACTGTCCGGCACGTCCACTACTGCCTGCTGCCTTCCATTTTCAATTTCTCTGGCAAGAACCGGATCTGGTGGGCCCTATCACGTGACACACTCCTATCACATCTCATTACGCAGTTCAGCCAGGCACATGTAACACCCTTTTGGTGACCAGAGTGAAGATGTGCCTTCTCAAGAGGCCTTGTTGGCTTCTCTAGACCCTATTTCAAGGTCCTCATTGTGCTTTCACTTCTGTTTGGATAGTGGGCTTTCAAGGCACAAAGAGATAGTGAGCTTGCATAATCATTAATGTGAGATAGAGTAGCCTAGGATGTGACATTCATGAGATCTGAATTCTAATTTGTGAGTATTATAGGTTGGATAAGTGGAAAGCAGGCACAACCAAAGGGTTTTAGAAACTTGTAGTCTGGTACTGGTTCTTTTTCAAATAATGTATGGAACCAAAAAATATAGTGAGGCAGTTGGGAGTCTATTAATTAGGTAAACAATAGTAGTAAAGGCATAATCCCAAAATTTTAATTGTAGAGAATCATGGATAAGTAAAGTAAGCCCAAGTGTTTTGAACTGTATGTCTATGTTTTCTCTCAGTAACACCATTTTGGTGATGAGTATGGGGACACTTGAGATTAAGAGTTTTTAAAAATATTCTGGTGTGTCCCACAGCTCCACATCTCTATGTTTTCTCCTGTCATCATTCTGTTATTCTCCCTTCCTTTCCATCATTCCTACAATGTGTGTCCCTCTCCCACTCTCTCCCATTTATGTCACATGTTTCTTCCTCCTCTCATACACTTTTGGGCCCTTTTCAGCAAGCCCTTTTTCCTCCCTTTGCCTCCATTTGTATGCATGCTTCATTTAGTACTTATCAAACTAAGTAATTGTGTACACCTTGTATAATCAGAGGGTGCCATGTATCTCTGGATTTTGAGGATATTTATTTCCTGTAATGAGTTATGTTGAGTTTTAAAGCCTTGTCTGCTTATTTGATTTGGTGATTTTTATATTTATGGTGGTGGCTCAGTTTCCAGGCTTGAAGGTTTCGTTTCCAACAGGGAGCAGTCTTATGAAGATCCTATTGAAGAGTAATGGTTTTATTTCAGTCTGTTTTCATCCTTTTCTTTTTAAATGTTATTTCCATAATGTGAGACTGTAAGTTACATTATATCTTTTTTCATCTAGGTTATTATATGCAGTTTTTGTTGTTTCAAATGAAAACGCATCTGTGGCTGAATTGGCAGCAACCCTACAGGCTGACTTGTCACAACTGCAGGCTGCTGCATCTTTTGTATGTCGATTGGGATGGGCAACAAAAGTAATTGATCCAGCATCTATTCTTCAAGATACAAACATACCTGGGTCTCCTAGAAGTGTAGTCAGTGATGAAGATGCTTCTATTGCTAGTCATGGTTTTGATAATTTGCTTATTGATAATGATACGAATCAAGGTGACACTTCAAGTTCAGGGAACTATGGTCCTCATTCTGCCTATACTCGTGTAGCGTTCATAGTTGATGCTAATATAACATCATATCTTATGATGGGTTCTGTTTCACCAGGTTTATACCTTCCTCATTTCGTAAAACTTAAATTCTTTTACTGGAAGTATATTTTGAATTTTGTTTTTTACTGTTATTGTAAAGTCTAAGATGCTGATGTTTGTTAGAGTGGGTGTGTAGGCTCTTATTCTGAACATGGTTGTATTCTAAAGTTTTTCGTCTAGTTAGTTTATATATTAGTTTCAGTCTAGGTTCTCAATAGCGGCTGTAGCGGCTTCCATGAAGCTGCTACAATGATGCCGTTGCGTGGTGTTTCAATGTTGCAGCTGAGGCGGGCGTGAACCAGTGGTGTGGAGTGGCCACAATCATGTGTGTAGGAAAGCGGTTTGAACAACGCATACTTGACAGAACATGGAAGATAATGCTAGAGTGCATGGTAATTCTGATGACTCTGAAGTTGACAGGGGTAGGTCACACTAGGTGAGGCACACCAAACCCTAGGTTTGGCTGAGAAAATGTTGCCAGCGATAGTGATTGGCTGTGGTGGATGAAGCTTGAAGAAACTGACTGTGACAGACTTGATGGAACAGTAGAGAGGGTTCCTACCTGGTCTGATACCAACTTGAATATTGGGAAATATAGTGATAGATCTCAGCAATCAAGATTCAGAATTAAGAGAGAAGAGAGATGAGAGAAGGAAGAGAATTAGAGAAAAAATCAATTATTTTGCTCTGCCAAGGGAAGAAAGACCCATTCATACTGTAAAAACAGTTAATTATCAAATACAAAAGGAATGCCCTCCTTATTCTATATACAAGGGTATTTATAAGCCCCTCGTTCTGATTTCCACACAGTCCAAGTCAAACAGGCCAATCAATTATGCTAACTACTGCCACCTAGAATAGACCTTTAATGTTGGAACCTCTTGGTTCCTAACATTGTTTCAGCGAAAATCAGTGAGTTCTCTCTCAACTGATCTGCATTTTTGTAATAACTCAAAAAAGTAATTTGATACAAAGAAGGCTAAAATGCCTACGACATCCCATCACAACAAGCTATACAATCAAAAATAAAAAATACAATATGAAGAAGCTTTCCTAACAAGATATTTTAACAAAGGCTTTAAGCTCTTTGTTTCCTTGACTTTCTATTTTATTTTTTAAGTACTATGATTTTTTATTATTGAAAATGATTAATGCATAAATTGAGTTATTTTTCTAATTTTGAGCTCATATGTGTTGTTAATATATATCTATATCTATATATATATATATATCGATGCGCCTAAAGTGGATGTAGGAGGGTAAAGAAAAGGGAGATAGGAACAAGAACAAAAACAAAAAACAAAAAACAAAAAAGGACCGGGTTTACACGGCGGTAGCCCGCACAATACCGGAAAGTTTACATGCAAGATTAGAAAAGGACCGGGTTTACACGGTGGTAGTCCGCACAATACCGGAAGTTTGGATGCAAGAACAGAAAATAAATACAAGAAAAATTGTAAAGAAAGCAGATGGAGAAAGAAAGTTTTTATTAAAAGGAAAGCTTACAATGAAGTATCTCAGAGCTTCCCTCTCTAAACTCTCTATCTCTCTCTTATATTCTAAATTGAAGGGGTACCTCACATCATGGTCGAGGCCTCCTTTTAAAGACTTAAAATTACTGTTTCTACAGAACCGGTAACTTGACAGGAATTGTTTCTACAAATAATGATCTACAGTGCCGGTAACTTGACTGGAACTGTTGAGAACTTTAGATGTCAGTCAGATTTACTCCAAAACAGTCATCTTCATTTTGGTAAAACTCATTTAGAGATGTGGACTCTGACGAGCTGGGTAAGGAGGACTTTGAAGATTCTCCTTTTTTGTGTAATGCCAAAATATCTTCAAGATTCTTGGCAAAACTTTCTTTGGTCTTCGCAGCTGCTAATGAAGCTGTGATTTTTGCCTTCTAGTTGAGAAACAATGAAGTTTCTGGATCAGCTGCTTTCAAGTACTTTGAATTGGAGGTAAACCAATTTTTTACTTCTTGAGAGCTTGCTCGGCTAGCATCAAATTGGGGCCACCATTTTACAAAGGAATTCCTTTGAAATGGAGGAGGTCTTAATGGGTGATTTGATTTCCCAAATTTATATTGCCATGAAAATATCCAAGACAACGAAAAGCTTGAGAAAAATTGAAGGTCTGCTGGAATCCATGTATTCTGGCAATCATACATAGATTTAAAAACCTTGAAACCTTCATCTGCGGGAGAAGGAAGAATTTCTTCAATTGGACCACAAAAGTCCCACCATTGGAGGAACTAGTTGGGAAACTTGTATTGAATATTTCTTTTGAAATAGATAAGCCATGAGTGGCAATTGGTTTTATTTTGATACTAGAACGTTTTAGTCCAAGCATCAATATAATCCCAATAATAGTACTCAATAAGGTCAAAAAAGCATTGAAAACTTCTGAAAAGTATTATTCGGATTTTGGCCAAACTGGCTAGGAGTTAAAACTTTTAATATTTGGAAAGTTGTATGGGTTATATTAGAAGGATCTTTTGGATCCTTATAATGTTTGATTGCTACAGAATCTGTATCAACCAAAATAAACTCATAGAACTTTCGTGTTTTATTGAGGGCAAAAGGTTTAAAATGAAAACTCTCAGGAAAATTTTTTGAGGAATTTTGTTTGGGTTTTTATCCCAAAATTCAGGTTGCATTTGAACGATAACTAAAATCTTATTTTTTGGGACATAATGAGATTGAGATGTTTGGGGCTTTTTTGATTGAGTCAAAGTCTGAGTTTGGGAAGTTGATTGGGTTTGTTTTTCTGGTAATCTACCAAGGAGGAGATCCATAGCTTTATCTTCTCCTTCATCTTCTTCTTCTGACATAAGGTCAGCCCAAGTCTTGTTTGGAATTAAGGTTAGACTCTGGGATTGAAGATTTAATAGGGTTGAAATTGAGATTGGGATGACATAATCTGCCTTGGTTTGCTTTTGTGTTTGATGGTGGGTTTGTTGAGTAGATGACTCAACCATTTGACTAGGTTGGGATTGAGTCAATGACTCAATTAGTTCAAGGGTTTTGTTTGATGGAGTAGATGACTTCGCAGATTGAGTTGGCCCTGTTAAGACCAAATGATTTCCTCTGCCTCTTCCTCTGGTTGAGGCTAATATTGCTTTTTTAGGCATCTGACGATGTTCCTTGTAAGTATTCACAAGTAAGATAATCAGGAAGAGAATTTGAGGTGCCTTTGAGATACTCAAGTCAAAATCAAAAACACTTAAAATTCTTTGCCATCTAGCAAAAAAATTTGTTTTGATGCAAGATTCTTAACATTGTTTTGCAAAATTTCTTTGGCTGATTTGCAATCAACCCTAATTAAAAAATTTTGATTTAAAAGATGAGATTGGAATTTTGAAACACAAAGAACAATTGTTAAAACGTTTTTTTTGACAGTTGAATAATTCTGCTATGCAGGGTTCCAATGTTTGGAAGTATAAGCCACGATGTGCTCTTTATCACATCTGGTATTAGAGCCTGATGGGGAAATAAGATAATATTTATTAATATTAAGTTAATATATGTTACTATGAATCTGGTACTTCTCGTTGTGTACAATTAATTTTCTGGAAAAATATTTAGATCTATGTCTTAAGTTTTAAAGCAACTGTAGCGGTAAGACCCGTGAGTGGCAATAAGACTAATTTGATGATGTTGTGTCTAAAACTTGAGTCTAGATCAATTTAAAAAAAAAAGAGTTTTATAATCCCAGATTCATTGGACAGAAATTAATTTAATATTAATTTGTTATTTTATGGAACCAGATGAGGGTAATGATACTAGATTTATTTCTATCATGAGTAATCTTTTCCGCTTCCTGTCTCGTTTTTGCAATCAAAGCTCCCTCTTCAACCTCTACTTCTAAAACAAATCATAATTTGCTTACTGAGCAAAGCCAAACTCCGGAGGAAATTCCTCCCGAAAACAACATCTTTGAAGAAGTTTGCTTCGAAGATATAAACCAAGCCATTGACAATCGGGAAATTCTCAAAATACCCCAGGATGAGTTATACATACCGGATGAATCCACACATGTCCGCAGTTATAATTACATAATTAAGACTGCAGAAAACAATATACCTCTTGACCCACAAGCTGGTGAGGAGTTCCATCTTCTTACAAAACAATCTGTTGCTGACCTTGCTAGGAAGTATAAGTACCTCCATATAGGTTGTGTTCAAGTAGTTGTTAAACCCCTAGTTAGGGAAGGACTCAATGCTTCAATCTTAATGTGTCTTAGAGATATTAGGCACAATGACTTTCAGGATTCCCTTATAGGAACCGTAGAAACAAGTTTAGGACATGGTCCTGTTTACTTTAATTGTTTCCCAAATAAAACAGTGAGTCTTTTAGATAGGAATGTCTTAGATTCATTGTTTTTAAATATTAGACTGCATGGGTTAAATATGAAAGAAGGATTTATCCCTGCAGCCCTTTTATATAGAATCCAACCTCGTGGCAGTTAGAAAGAGCAACACCTACCTTACCCAGACAAACACCTGAATTCCAAGAAATTAGGCAGTCTGAAGCAGGAAAGGTAGAAATTATTTTTGATAGGAGAAATTCCTTTTCTTCTAGAACCGAAGCTACTAGATCTGAATACACTTCTGCCAGAAGATCTTTTTCTGTAGCATCACAATCTAGTAAAAATTCTATTCCTAGAATAATTATTCTTGAATCTTTTCTCGAGTCTTTTCAAGCTTTTTCCATTTCCCGTTATTCCCAAAATTCTGGACCTATCATTTTGGTTGGACCTGTTGACGACAGTCAAAGGATGGAGGCATGTGTGGAGACATTGGAGAATTTGACGGAATATTTGAAGATACTTATGGTGGAACATAGGTCACAACTCGCACATGTTTGCAAGCAGATGAATATGATGGAAATATCAAGCAACTTCTTGGAAAATGGATACAGTGACAAGGAATTAAATTGGATGGTGAGAAAGCAAATAGCGGAGGAGAGAATCATGGTTTGAAGTATGTTTCATCCACTTCAAGCATTTAGGCAAGGGCACAAGGAGATGAAGAGTTGTCAAGCAAAAATACTCAGGCATAGAAAGTGCAATTACTAGTGTTTGATGGAACAGCCCAATTGTGTGGATAGCTAGAGCATAAAATTTTGGATGTGCAATAAATGCTTCCTTTGGAGAAGTTGTGATTAGCGTTTGTGATCATGGAGGGTACTCGCAGTACATTGGCTCCATTTTTTGGTGTCACAATAATCCTGTGACAGATAGGGCAACTTTCTTTGCTTCTTTTATTAGGCTTTTTTTGAGAAAAAACAATGGAGTAATGTGTTTGAATGATTAGCCACCTTTAAACAAGATGATCCAATAGAAGGTTACGTTCAATATTTTGTGGTCTTGGTGCCTCAAGTAAGGACTATTCCAGAAGAACAATTGTTGGGTTACTTTCTTGGAGGCCTCGAAGAGGTGATACGGTGTTGTATGAGGGTTCACAACCAAAACAAAATTTCTAGAGTTATTGAGATAGCTAGGGCAATTGAAGATGAATTTCAAGTTGCCCAATGGTGGGTTGCTACAAAGAATAGTGGGACTTCTTTCGGGGTAGCTATTCTCACCAGACAATTGGCCTACCATGACTATGTATGCCGAATGAAGGTATATGTTTTCGTTTTGGTGAAATATTTTCACTGTGCATTGCTGTCTTGCAGAAAATATGAGGGTGATGATATTAGGAGAAGATTAGCAAGCATCAGAAGATGCTACAAACAATGCACTGGATATCATAGGGGGGACAATCGCGAACCATGGGAGGAGGAGCCCATTGAATGTCAGCAATTAGAATTGTCTCTCTGTTCAGCAG